ATTTTTATGGGCAGAGGCCGTATCGCATGCAGCCTATTTACGCAACCGAGCGCCAACTCGCGCACTTGATGGCATCACACCAGAAGAAGGCTTCACAGGCCGTAAACCCGACATCTCGCACCTCCAAGAGTTCGGTAGCGACGTCTGGATACTCACACAGGCAACGAATAAGCGGGGAAAACTGGATGGGAAAGCCAAGAAATTTATCTTTGTTGGATTCAATGAGGGCCCCGCCGCGATCCGTTATTACGATGCCGCGCAACGCCAAGTCCGGGAATCACGGAATTATGCATTCAACTGGAATGAAAAGACCGATGCCATCGACATACTTGTCAGAACCGGCTCGGATATGCAGCTCGAGGGGGAAAACAAAGATGCAGGGGGAATTTCCGATCAGCAATCCTCGCAATCAGACCATGCAGAGCCAGAGGTTCAAAATACTCCAGTGCCTGGAGTATCCACTCCCAGAGACACACATACTCTAGAAAATTCCCTTCCTCCATCACCAGTAATTCCGGAACCAGAATCCAGGCCAAGACTTCGAGAGCGAGTACAGTTAGATTATCGAAAATTAAATAATCCACAGGCTCAGCCAGCAGTCAGACCAGCTCCAGCTCCAGGCAGAGGCAGCCAAACAGACTCAGCCCCCAGCGCCAACATAGCAGTCGAGGACAAAGCCATAGATTTTGCATTTGCCGCTACCTCCGCTGAGACACTGCCGGATTCAGACGATGTTCCGAGATCCTTGGCTGAAGCTAAGAGATCACCATTATGGGATTATTGGAGGGTAGCGATGGAAGAGGAAATGGCCCAGTTATTCGGCATGAAAACATGGGAAGTTGTAGAACTGCCGGAAGGACGGAAAGCGATCGGATGCAAATGGGTCTATTCGAAGAAACGTGACGAGCACGGTAACGTGATCCAATACAAAGCACGTCTCGTCGCACTCGGATACTCTCAAATCCCTGGAATTGACCACCAGGAGACCTTCTCACCTGTTGTCCGACTTGATTCACTCCGCACTGGACTTGCCTTCGCCGCAATAGAAGATCTGGAAATACAAGTGCTAGATGTCAAAGGGGCATTCCTTAATGGAGATCTCGAAGAAGAGATCTACATGCTCCAAGCACCAGGCTTCGAGGACGGATCAGGCAAAGTCTATCGCCTACTCAAAACTCTCTATGGATTGAAACAGTCCGGACGCCGCTGGAATTTAAAATTACACGGTGCACTCAGCAAACACGGCTTCACCCGGCTCGAAGCCGATCATTGTGTTTACCTCCGTCGCAACGGAGAAAATTACGCGATCCTATTGATTTGGGTAGACGACATCGCCGCTATCACAAACTCAACAGCCGAAATGACAAAAGTCAAGGCTGTTCTTAAAGCCGAGTTCGAAATCAAAGACATTGGAGAACCACGCTTACTTCTCGGAATCGAAATCACACGGAATAGAACCTCCAAATCCATCACATTGTCCCAGAAAAATTATGTGGACACAATCCTTCGCAGATTCAAAATGGACAACTCCTCTCCCGTGTCAACTCCACTCGATCCGCACGTTGTCCTGTCAAAACGCGAGGATCAACCTTCAGATAAAATCGGAGGAGGTCTTTACGCGGTTGCGATCGGATCTTTGATGTACGCGGCTATGGGCACACGGCCCGACATTGCCTTTGCAGTCCAAACACTCAGCCAGTTCACGTCGAATCCAGGTCCCGAACACTGGACAGCTGTCAAGCGTGTTTTCCGGTACCTAAATGGAACTCGAAAATACGGACTTACTTATAGCGGTGCTGATGAGCGCGAATGGCCGATAAAACCCATCGGCTACACGGACGCAGATTGGGGATCAAACCCCAATGACCGGAAATCAATCTCCGGCTACTCCTTCATGCTTGGAGGAGGAGCCATCGCTTGGAGTTCCCGAAAACAAAGCACTGTCGCGTTGTCATCCACGGAAGCTGAATATATTGCAGCTACGCACGCAACACGTCAAGCCATTTGGCTTAGACAGCTTCTTGACGGACTCCAAATTCCACAGGAAGGTCCAACAACACTCTATGCTGATAACCAGTCAGCCATTGCGTTGTCGCGCGACCCTCAATTTCATGCGCGCACCAAACACGTCGACATCCAGCATCATTTCATTCGTGAGAAAGTCGCTAACGGAGATATCGACATCATTTATTGTCCGACTCACGAAATGGTTGCCGACGTACTCACCAAAGGTCTGGCAAAGCCCAAACACACCAAGTTCACTGGTAATATGGGAATGCTTCAGGCTTGAGGGGGAGTGTTGGAGTTCAATCCCGAAGCACGTAGAATACGTGGGAACATCACGGATCATTCCGGATCATTCCCGCTCGCTGCGTCGGCTCCACCGACGCAGTGCTCGGGGATGATCAGTCAGCTTCGGGGTTTATTACTCATCTTCCAGGACTCTTGTAGATACTTCTAGATATTTTAGCTACTATAAAAACTGGCTAGTTCAAGCCCTAATAATTAATTCAATTCTTCTTCTCTTAAGTTCAGTTAGAGCTTCCGTAACTTCAATACTTTGCCTTAATGCTGGAGCTATGAGATTGAACACATAGGTCCTAGAATTTCGACAGTGCACCTGCAGATCGCTCTGCGCCAACTCGCCCTTGGTCCAAGGGTGGTTGGAAAATTGGCAAGGGACTTCGACGATCGACTTGTATGCATACCAATATATACTGAGCCCCATGAAGAACCTATAATGCACTCGATCTTGGGTGCAGACTCACGGTGTGAGGTTGCTGTCGGAGGTGTTGAGCGCAGGCGGGCCGCCATCACCGGCATCAGAGCGGGCGCGCCATCAATCACGTGGAATCTTGCTAAATCGGGATATATCCCGCCTCTTGAGCGTCGCATTGATCATGGAGGGTAGGAATCACTTGAGTCCTGACTTAAAGAGAGTGCCTGGCCTCTCAGATTCCATGGTGTGCTCAGGATTTGTATGCCCAAGCTGTGGCAGCAATATTATACGACAGACAAGTGAGTATTGTCAACCGTTCAAACCGTTTGTTTACTATTCGTTTACCGTTTGCGGCTCCAGCAAATAAAACGAAAAAAACGGGTTGTTTAAACCCGTTTATAAAGGAAAACGATTGGAGCCTTACACCAGAAGAGGTTCCTGAACATGAGCGCTAATCTCGGCTCATTCCCTCCGGATATCCAGAGGTTAAAGTGGAGAAGCGAATCGTTTCGAACATTGCTTTGAGAGAATACTAACTAAAATCCACCACTCGAAGAGGGCCCAGTGTCACTGTCGTTTCTGGATGGTTGACGTCATCGCCGATCGTCCGCGGATGCAATTGGCAGTGACCCGATTTGGATGTCGCCTCTTCTTGTCCTCATTCCGTCTTCCGTCTTATCTGCTCGTCCTCTTACTCTGCTTGTCCCCTGCGTCCCTAGCACCATCCCTGTCCCTTCTTAACATGCCGGGGAAGGAAGGAAGCCACACCGACTTCGAGGCTATCTCCGTAATCCCCGCTGACCGCACGCCCGCCGCGTTCCCTCATTGGCCGCTCTGCGGACGCACGCCGCTAACCCGATTATCTATGTCTTCAGGCCGCACGCCGGACTGCGCACCCCTTACGCGCGGCGATGACTCATTCGCAACTTGAAGTCCACGTTCACACGCTCTTCCTTACTCGCTCGCGCCAGCTTCCATGTACATATCCTGCTCCCCCTTGCGCAGGGCGCCGGAATCACCCTATCGCCGGCCACGCCGATTCCTGCCATGTTCGGCAGGTCCCCGCTTTGCATCGGCTTTATTCCTGCCTGCCCGCTGCAAGGATTCCATTCCAATCCATCTGCATCTACCCTTGCCGCCGGGCCAGGGGTGATAGGCAGATAGATGGATCGATAGGGATGCAGAGCATTACGGCGTGCGTCTCCCATCCTCATCCCCTACCCGTAGGTCGTGCGCACACCGTATCCTGCATGTCGCCGTCGCTGTGGGGAGTGCTAGTCCCCCACGCTTCATCTCCTGCTTCTAATTAATTAAACACCGGATCGATCTACGCGTGCTTTCTTCTCTTCTCCGTGCCCGGCGCTGACCGGAGCTTATCCCATTCGGACGTGTTATGGGTCCACCCTTCGACGTCCCATCATTCCGGTGGCGTTTCGCGTTCTTCCGTTCTGGGCTGCGGTTTGTTCTTGTTCTGGCTCTGGCCCTTGTTCTACTCCTGTTCTCATCCAATTGTGTTCATCTCGGTTTCTATTGTTCTTCCTGGTTCTTGACTCCGCGCGCCTCGCCAAGATATGCATCGATATAACATCATAATAATATCCAGTGGCGCTTCATGATCAGCCTTCTTCCGTTCTGGCCTGCGTCTTGTTCTTGGTTCTTGTCCTCGTTCCGGCTCTATTCGATTCTGTTCTCTTCCAATTATGTTCATTTTGGTTTCTATTATTCTTCCTGGTTCTCGATTCCGCCCGCCTCGCCAAGATATGCATTGATATCCATCTCCATCTCCGTCTCATCTCGTCATATCGTCATATCATCCTCCCTCTGTTAATTACCACCATTAGCACTTAGTGCCCAACTCCGCGTGCGTGCGTCCGCCGATTCCTATAATCACAAATTCCCAATTTACACCGTGACATAACCGCAAATCAAATCACGGCAACGCCTTCTACCTCCCCCGTCTCGAGAGAGGGCTATAGACTCGGACGTGGTGCACGGCGCACACCCGTTCTCCCTGAGGGCAATCTGGTCATTCCGAGGCGGGAGCCCTGGGTTCGACTCCCAGCGTCCGAACTTTCTGTTCCCCACTGATTTTTGTTTCCTTTCCTCCCGAGGCTCACCAGTCCGTGGTCAAGGTTCCTGCGCATTATGGCACGCGTCCACGTTCCGCTCCGGATGATGCGTGCGGCGCATCAGTCAAGTTCGCCTGTGAAGGCCCACAACACACACCTATGTGGTGTTCAAAACTCTGGTCCACATTTCGCTTCAAAGCAGAGGTAATAGCTCGGATGTGGTGCACGGTGCACACCTGCTCTCTATGACTCTTGGGATACGAGTACAGCAGGAGCCCTGGGTTCGACTCCCAGCGTCCGAATAAGGCTACAGGCCTCCGTTTTTGATTATTTTGTTTTTCCCAGGCTCAGCACTCTGCCACGAACAACTCTGGGGTCCTGGAGATTATCGCACTCGTTCGGATGACGTAATTGGCGCGCCGGGGTTGATGCGTGCAGCGCATCAATCAAGTTCGTCAGTGAAGGCCCACAACACCTATGTAACGTTCAAAGCTGTGGTCCACATTTTAGTTCAAAGGAGGTATACCAACTCGGACGTGGTGCACGGCGCACACCCGCTCTTCTTATGGTTGACAAATAGGTGAAAGTGGGAGGCCTGGGTTCGACTCCCAGCTTCCGAATTATCATGTTCCAACCAGTTTTTGTTTTATTTCTTTCTCAGGCTCACCACTCTGCCACAAAGTATCAACTCTAGGTACCTGCAGAGTATCGCGCGCGTTCGGATGATGTGGCCGGCGCACCGGGGTGAAGGATAAACATCTATCTTGCCTCGGAGGTACTTATAAAACTCTCGTCCAAATTTCGGTTCAAAGCAGGGATGACAGCTCGGACGTGGTGCACGGTGCACAGCCGCTCTTCTTATGTGAAACCGCCTCTTCGGTAACGGTGAGAGCCCTGGGTTTGACTCCCAGCATCCGAATTATCCATGTTCTTTCCAGTTTTTGTTTTATTTTCTTAGGCTCACCGCTCTATGCCACAAAGTATCAACTCTACGTCCTGCGCATTTTTACGCGAGTCCACGGCCGTGTACTACGCATCGGAGTGAGGTTGGTTCATCATCGAATGAAAGATAAAGAAATATTTCAAGGACCAGATGAGCTTCGCCACTCTCGTAGTTAGCCCGCGGCAAAGCAGAGATATCAGCTCGGACGTGGTGCACGGCGCATACCCGCTCTTACGTGCCCTCTCGGTGACAGCGGTAGCCCTGGGTCCGACTCCCAGCGTCCGAATGAACAGGGTCTCCCTCTTTTTTACCTGTCGAGTTATATTCTTTTACTGTAAATATCCCTGCTGATGAATTTTCGAGGAGTATGGAATTACACCTGGGCTTCAGGAAGCGCGGCTCCAGTCGAGTTGAGCTGAAGATGGAATGTCGCGGCGAGGTGAGTGTCAATACTCTGGTGTTTAGCCCGCTCCAAATAAGGCTATAAACTCGGATGTGATGCACGGCGCACCCCCGCCCTTCATGATTTGTCTCCGTCAATACAAGGAACAGCGGGAGGGATGGGTTCGACTCCCAGCGTCTGAATAACAGGATCAGATCTCCTTTTTAGTCTTTTCTCGTATGCGATCACCACGGGAGTCTCGGCCAGTCCTTTTGTTCTGCTGCTTTTGCTTACTAGAATTCTCCTCGGCATCCACATCTCAACATTTTTGTTCATTTCCGCCTCGGATCGCACTGATAATTGATCGTCGAACCAAGTGAACTCTTTGGCACGTTTTAAAGTCTCGTACTTGCCCCGCTACAAAAGAGGGCTATAGACTCGGTGTTGCAGCTTGCGTTTCAACTTGTTTTCAACTCCTTTCGGCATTGGTTGATATTCGGCCTTTTCGGCAGTGATATTCGGCTGATCTGGGCTGATGCGGAAATTCCCGGGCCCCGCTTGTTCCTCCGCTTTTGTTCTGCTCCTCCACGCCACACTAGGCCCCATCCGCTCACTGCTTTATTCTCGTGGTTGCCTTGTGTGTATCCAAGCAATCTGGCGACTCCCTTGTTCTATTGTGCCACCGGATGTACTTTTACTTGCGGGTCCATCAAATGTGTGCTGGATCTGCACGACTGCATTCTCCTCTTTCTCCCTGCTTCTCCCTGATCCTCTCTCTGGCTTGGGTTACCCCTCGATCCCCAGCTCCCCGCAAGATCAGACTGACCAATGACGGAATACGACTTCAGCCCCGAAGCCTACACGCGGCACTTGGAGACGCAGGCCCGCATCGCGCGCTGGACGGAGAGCACCCACCGCGTGCCCCAGGGGGACCCCTTCGCCCCGCCCACGCCCGCCGCCGGCCCGGACCCGCTGCCGGGTAGACGCCGCACGCGTTCGTCGGGCCGCCACCGCGAGCGCGAGCGCACCCCGCCGCCACCGGTGCCGCTGCAACGACCCCGCGCGGCACCCCCGCGCCCCCAAACCGCGCCGCCAAAGGGCGACATCTACGGCGTCCAGCAACCTCTATACCCCGCGGTCGTGCAGCCGTACTTCTACCCCCAGCCACCGCCACCACCGCCGCCGCACCGCCGCTCGCGCTCGAGCTCGCAGGCCGCGCCCCCCACGCATACGCGGAGCTACTCGTACCAGCAGCCCCCGGTGGCGCGGCGCCAAGGGTCATACCCGCCACCGCCGCCGCCGCCCCCTGGGTTTATGTACGCGCAGCCCGGACCGGGCCCGCAGCCGGTGTACACACCGCAACCCCAGCCGGTGTACGCGCCCGGCCCCGTATACGCACAGCCGCAGCCCATGTATGCGCAACCGCAATCGGTGCGGAGCCCGGCGCGCGAGGTGCCGCTGCTGCGGCGTGTCTTTGGCTTCGGCGGCGGTGGCGGTGGGGGCGGGAGCGGGAAGCTGAGTCGCGAGAGTAGTCGGGGTCGCGATTCGGGGCGGGATAGGGAGAGGGGGAAGCCGAGGAGGAGTGAGACGTATTGAGGGGAGGGAGGTGCGCCGCGCTCGTTCGTCTCCGGGTCGATGTCCTGCCTCAGCGGTCATCGCTCTCGCGGCTCCCTCTCGCGCACCCCCCACCAGTCGCGCACGCCACATTTCCCGAGCCGCGCGTACAGCGTATCCCCCCCTCCATTGTACACCGCGATCTGCGCGGCCGCCGCGTATCTCCTCCCCGCACCCATTTACCCCCGCATCCCATCCCATCCCCGCATCCGACTCTCCCATCCCCGCATCCGACTCTCCCATCCCCGCATCCGACTCTCCCCTCCCCGCCCCGCCCACACTATCTCCGTCCCGCACATACCGCATCCCTATAATCCGTACATACCAACTCCTATCACCTACATACCACCCTCGGACGTCCGCTATACCTCAGTGTATCATATCTTCCTTGTCTTGTCCATTTTGCCTGTGTAAATAAAATAACCATTTGCCCGCACGTAGGGTGTGAACTTGAATCCTGCGCTCGACCACTCATATATATATTGAGGTATATATTCAGGTACGCACGAGAGTGAGGAGCGCGGACGTGGTGCACGGCGGACGCCCACTCTCCTTTGAGCTGAGCTGGACTAAATTTGAGGCGGGAAGCCTGGGTTCGACTCCCAGCGTCCGAATCATGATGGCCAACTGTTTTTTTTTTCAACCCTCGGATAAGTACACACATATATTCCTCGCCGCCGATCCGCCTTTCACGTCCCAGCGTCCGAATGATGCCCAAAGATCCATTTCCTTTTTCACCCTCCGGGCAAGTGGCTCTCCGACAACTTGAGCCCGGCGATCTGAATTTAGGACCCAACCAGCCTGTTCGGAAGGGGACCTTTCTTTCTTTCCGAGTGCTTCACAGGGTCGTGGGTGGATGAGTTTTGCATTATTTATTCTGGTGCGTCAGGCTGACAGGTACCTCGGATAGGATGTATGGTGCACCCCCGCTCCCTCTGGGTGTTTTAGTTGATAGAGGCGGGAAGCCTCGGTTCGACCAGCGTGCGACTGATAGAGCTATTTTCTTTTTCACCCTCCAGGCAAGTGCTGGTACTTACATATTACAGTCAGTATCTGTAGCTCCCGCCCTCGCCCATGCACATATTCAGGTACACAAGCGGAGTTTTCGTGTTCTCGGATTTGATTTTCGGCAAATCGCCTGATGCCAATCATGCCATCGGAAATTGCCGATTCCCTCTTGTCAGCTACCACGAGATTTCAAGATCCTCCATTCTAAGGATGCGCGCCACACCAGGCGACGTGAAGCCAAAACCGTCCGAAAGAACGACGTCTATTCGTCCTCCTTACTTTTGTTCCTTCGTCTCACCATCTGCTGTAGTCTTGCGTGCTGATTGATTTTCACGCGCAGCGCTGGCTTATTCCTGTGCTCCTCCGCCCAGCCCGAGTTTGTTTCTGGTTGCTGGCGCCCGAAATCACCATTTCCTACTCGTCGCAATCTCCCGCGATAAAGGATCTGATATACTTTGATTTAGATAGCGCACCCGTCGACTGCTCTGTCATGACGGCTCTCATGACTGAATCCCATTTGCCAATGTCACCAGCAGCACACAAAATGGACGTAGTCTCTCATAGAAATCCTCGAACCGCTCTAACGGCGACTTCTGGCTCGAAGGATTGGCTCCCTAATATTGCCTAATATGATCCTCGCCGCGAAAACAATAGCCGCTGGGGCTGAATTGGTCCCCTTGCCGTGTATCCGAGCGGCTTGTGGTGCCGCTGTCATTTTCCTCGAGACGGTTGATGTCCGTCTCCAACTTGTGCCCTTCCACCCGTTCTAATAGGGGGAGTCAAAGCGGTCAGACGAGGCCGATTCACGCACGATTCAGAGGTCGATTCAGAGGTCGATTCTTGGCCCAATTTTGGATGAGGATCGGTCGAGAATCGGCGACATCGAGAATCGGTCTGAATCGGTGTTCCTGCTTCGAAGCAGGAACTCATCAGAATCGGTGCCGATTCTTGAAATATCGCTTCTGATCCCCAAGAAGCGATCCGAGCAGCGACCACAGAATCGAGGCCAGAATCGGGTCGGTCGGAGCTGCGCTGATTCTCATCCGATTCTGTCCGTCGATTCTGACCAGAATCGGGTTCAGAATCGGATGATGAATCGGTCCTCTTTGACCGCTTTGACCTTCCCTAATGGTTCTGGTTGGAAAATCAAAGGTGCTGTCCGGTTCTCGGGACTTTGTCAGAATTTCGTCTTGTGAGTGAATTACTCCACACAACTCGCAGGCTCACTAAACACGTCTACCTGTATGCAGCGTCATTTAATCTTTGCAAGACGGTCTAGAGCACCTCAGAATTCGCCAGGGGGTTAGAGGGAAATTGCATGAAATCTTCAGCGCCTCGAGAATCGCGGATCAGATAGCACGCTACAGGATCCGCATAGAGGAATTGCGCTCTAACTTCCGTGTACGTCTTTCCTCGCTGCATGTGCTCCGAAAGTTATACCTAAATCTCTCGATCTCGCTCCAGCAAGACCACTTTCCGAAACATCCCTTTGGGCGATATTAACCTGCCATACGAAACTGCGACAAGCAAAACGCACAACATCAAGATTTTTGCCGCTCGTATTTCAATCAACAATGACGGTAGTAAAATATGAAGATGGTGAATTCACAGACTTGGAACCACTCCATATGAATCCATTATCTAATGGCTGCTGTAGTTTCAGCCAGTTTCAG